TTAACAGACTACATTTCCTGTGAGTTGGCTGGAGAGATTGACTCCTCACCAGGTGGGCTGCTCAAAATAGGGTAGTTCATCTCTCCCAGAGAACCAGATTCCAGAGCAAAAGAGAGCGGGTGGGTGCGCAATCTGGAAGCTGTAATCTTTCATGATACAATGCTGAAGTTTTGCACTCTCACTTCTTCTGCGTGCTGCTACCACACAGACCAGTTCTGGCATAATAGGAAAAGGGAATATAGGACACTGTGAATACCAAGGCGGGGGTCTTTGGAAGCATCTTCAAAGCTGGTACTTGAAAGAAGGCATGTGTTGAGGGGGTGCCTAAAACACAGAGAATGACTAGATCATGAATCACTGGGTGAAACAGACTCTCCAACCTACCTTACAATTTAAATAAGCAAAAAAAACTTTTATGGTGCTAAGATAATGAAAATTAGGAGTTTATTTGTAACTGTGGTATAAACTAGTTACTCAGAACAGTAATAGTCTTCATGAAAATCTGTCTATAGAGATGTCCTGGATGATTAAAGAAATTTGGACATTCTAGAACTTGAAAGACTTATTTCTCAATATAGATGAAAACATCAATTTGACAAGTTAGTGAATTTGCTTAATGTAAGTCTGTCATCAGAGTATTGACACAATCAAATGACCTTTGAAAGTCAAAGGTCATATTATCCCTAATCCTAATCCCTTCAAGTATAGAAAACTGAGGAGTTTCTCTCACCGAACACACAACCACCAGATCCACTCACAGTTTGCTTTCATGATGATGTTAAATTACTTCAAGGACTTGAGAGTTTTCATGAAACAGTACCTATTTCATGAAGTTACTGCGAATGAGAGAAAAAGTAACATTATCTTCTGAAGAGAAAAATACTATATAAATATTAAAACTCATTTCTATGTTTTTAATATTGAAAGTGAATTACTAGTAAATAATCAGTAAAATAATCTCTAAACCTTCTAGGAATTAATTTCATATTTATTTTGAGCATTTTGGATTTTCAAAATTTAAAAAAAAAGACCTTTTATCTGACAAGAAATTTAATGTGATTTAAAACACTTTTCCAGTCCTGTTACTTGGTTTAAAAATCACCGAGTCTGGTGCGGTGATACACACCTGTAATCCTATCTATGTGGGAGCTGACTCAAGAGGATCAAAAGTTCAAGGCCAGCCTGGGCAACTTACTGAGACCATATCTCAAAATTTCAAATAAATAAATAAATAAATAAAGTACTGGAAATGTAGCTTAGGAGTAGAGCATTTGTCTAGCATATGCAAGGCTCTGGATTTAATCTCTACAACTAGTTTTACAAAAAGAAAAGGGGGGGGGGGAGGAAAGGAAACCAAAGCAGGGCAAGGCTTACCTATCTATAAGAAGCATGATAAAATGACCAAATTTAGTCCCTAGAATTAGCTCCTCAAAGATAAGCCATTTATTTGTGCATTTCATCCAACAGCATGGTGAAGTGTTTGGTGGTCTATCTAAAGTTCTTTTTACATATGGTATGATGTGTCTTTTTGAATGCATATAATATTTTTTCGTGGGAACAATGTTATGTAATATAAAGATTTATCTGTGCAGCCAAATCAATAGAAAATAACTTCTTTGTTTAAGCAAGTTTTGTAAATGCATGATGATAATGGACACAGAAATAAAATCCAAAGATCTTTAGATTATGTGAGGTCTCCAGTGTTTATGTTCTCATTCGTAAATCATGTCTAACCAGAGCACATTCAATAAAATAATCCTTGGCCACAATTATTTAACATTTTTTCCCATGAGTCACCCCCTACCCCCAAAAAGGCAAAAGCTTTTTTGGGCAGCATCTATTTTACCTTGAAATTTTCTCTTATAAAGGAACCTTAGCCAGGACTTGATTACCTTATCAAATGAGCTCATCCTCAGAGCTGAGGAACTGTAGTCTATCAGAGCAATAGCATGACAACAGCCCAGAAGAGCTGTGTAAATCGTCTAGAGGGCACATCAAGCACTGTCACCTTTCTCTTTCCTTCTGAGCATCTCTAGTCAGGGATACGAAGCTACAGAACAAAGAATAAAGCAATAGAACAAGTATGGGCCATGGAATCTGATGAATCAGTATTTGAAACTCAGTGCTGCTATTTACTATTGGTCTAAACTTCAAAATGTTAAACTTGCTCTATTTTATTTTCCTTATTTGTAAAGCAAAGTGGTTGTTCTGCTCACTATAAATTGATCATGAAAGCAGAATGCAATTGGTACCATTGGTTCGATTTAGATCATGGATGTCTCCCAAGAGTCTCTCGTGCTAAGGGGTGGGTTTGGAAGGTGATGGAGTTAGGTGAGCCTGCAGTTGGCACCTGTTAGAAAGTGGGGCCTGGCTAGACACAGGTCACTCGGGTCTGACCCGAAAACATAGGTGTCCCTCCTGGCTTCTCCTCCTTTCTCTCTCTGCGTCCTGACCACCATGAGGTGGGAAACTTTCCTTAACTCAGATCCTTTTGCTGTGTGCTTTCTGTATTTAAGTCTCTCCAACACAGACTGAAACTTCTCAACAGTGAGGCAAAATACCCCTTTTCTCATTGTAGGTGGTGGTTATTTTGTCCTCGTGACATGGAAAGTGACAAACACATATAAGTGGAACCCAGCATACAGAACCTGCCATATAGAACTCAGTATACAGTCTTCGTTTTCCTTTGCAGAGAGGAGGCTTCATCTGTCTTACGTCTGCTGAACCCTGCCAGGGAGACACTGCTTCACCAAACTAGCATCACTGGGAGTGTGGAAACATCAGAACACTACAGGGAGAAGGACGGGATTTTTTTTTTGTACCGGGGATCGAACTCAGGTCCTTGAGCCTGTGCAACATGTGCTAAAACCACTGAGCTAAATCCCAGGCCCGAAGGACAGGATTTATTTTACTTGCAAAATAACATCAGCAGTGGGTGTTTCTGAAATTTGAGGAGTTGAGTAAGAATTCAAGGATTTTAGAATGCTAGCATAGCTGCAATACAGGAAAAGGTACAAATATAATTGAAATGTAAAGTAATGACTCATATGAATACATGATAGAATTTAGTATTTCTGACCTACCAAAATTACAACAAATTTTAAGAAATAGAACATTGTATTTGTATTTGATTTTCAGATTTGGCTTCCGTAAAAAATTGTTTTTTCTTTCTTTCACTTTCTTTTCACTTTCACTGTACATATTTTTTCAAATATGCAAAGAAACTCTTACATTGTCAGTATCCCATATTAGTCTCATTGTTTTCTGTCCATGGTAAATGTTATCTATGAGAGAGCCATTTTGAAAGTTATCACTGGAATTCTATTCAAGCCAAAGACATGATTTATTTTATGAAGTAGACCAAGTGGTTATGGGTTTAGTAAAAACGTAAAGGTATCAATTTAATTACCATTTAGATAAATTTTCTACATTCTGGAATGAAAAACAAACGTAAAGATTAATGGCTGACAATACCTTTTACATTCCACTATCCATGATTTCTACTGAGACTTGGTATGCTTATATAATGTATGTCTCTCTAATCCTTTTCTGGTTTTTTTTGTGTAGGAAAAGATAAGTTTGTAAACACCCTAAACAACTAAATTGGGGATTAGGAGAAGCAAAACCAAATTGTCTTATATGCCTAGGAGTGGCAGGATTGCAGCTCTGCCATTTCTACTTCTGGTACATAATCTTAACCCTGTTACAGGTATTCCTCACCTCCAGTGGACCTTACCTTTTATTGGGTACACCATTTAGTTGATGATATGCTTTAATTGAGTTAAATCAGCAGTGCGTGTGTGTGTTAATAGTAGTAGTGGTAGATCAAATGGTTAACAACAGCTTAAAAACTTTAACTAAACGAGACCTGGTACATGCAAATTTAAACTGAGAGAGAGAGAGAGGGAGAGAGAGAGAGAGAGAGAGAGAGACTCTCATAATTAGGTATTAAAGCCCATACGGAGTGGGAAGACACTGTTGTGTGATCAGTGTGAAGACAAGTAGACAGATTGGAATGGAAAAGGAGAGTAGCATATGCTGACTCCAATGCACAGATCTCTTTAGGAAGACCTTCAACTGAGAAGAGGTGAGGGCTGAGGTCATAAGGAGGCAGGTATAGAGACTGGCCATGGAAGCAGAAGACAGACACAAACCTTATCAGAGGAGGTTCTAGTAAAGAAAAACAAGGGATAAAAATTAACATTAGTAGGCCAGGAATTTATCTTAGCGGTGCTGCACCTGCCTGGCAAGTGCAAGTTCCTGAGTTTGATTCCCAGTACTAGAAAGAAAATTAACATCAGTTAGAATTCACTGCATTTCAAGAAAAGCACGTGTATATTCCTCTATATATCTACACAGAGGATATCTATATATTATATTCTCATATGATTTCTACATTGAAAGCTTTAAAAACTTTTATTTTCAATTTGAAAAGTTGAGCTTGGCAAGTTCTGAACTTGCTAATAGTCACACAGAAAGCAAGAAACACAACTGGATGAATACCTACATTTATTGGGTGTTATAGTTTTTATATGAAGAAGATAATAGAGTCAAGACCCATACTAAGTGAAATGTAGAATATTGTTGAATGCAGAAAATTCCTCATTTTCCCCAGGTGTTCAATGTTTGACAAAAAGCATGTTTCTCCCTCCAATTTTCACTCAAGGAATTAGGATTAAAAATTACATTACATATATTTATTTGAGCTTCTCAAGAGACCCCTCTCACACACACATTAATATTAAAAGCATAATATTGCTAAAAAGTACCCTGGTTGAACAAGCAAATACATCAACTCGGATATTATACAAGATATATGTAGCTTATAAGGGGCATTGTTTTGAAGATAATGGAGAAACACTCCTTCTAAAAATAACTTTATCCCATGCTCCTTCCCAGGAGTTAAAACTACACAATTAGTCATGTATATGGCTGTTTATTAGAATACTCATGAAATTCCATTTACACTAATGAGTGTCTTCTTGCCTCATGTTTTCCAGGAAACTGCTTCATATCCTGGACAGAACACCTGATAATGAACAGGGACATCATGACAAAATTGGGCTGTTGGGAGAGGAAGAGTGGTTGTGGGTGATTCAGACTTTGTTACTCTCCACAGAATATATCTTGTTAAATCATTTTACAAAAGGGCACATAGGGAGAAATAACTTCTAACTGATGGCATTATATTTGTACATTCAACATGGTTGATATTTTCAAAGCAGTTGGTTCCATGAAAGAACAAATGTTGGATGGATCTGCAGAGTTAGTGATTATATCTGCTGCCTACACTGTGCTACTTCACCCTAATACCTAGCTTTGCCTCTTTATCTTGCATGAATAATGTGACTTCTTGTCCTAAACTCTATGTGAAATTACTTATACCACAGGGGCAAAAAGCCAATTCTCAGTCTAATTTATTTTGCAAATTTGACAGGGACATCAAAGAGCAAGAAGTTGTCTTAGAGTAATGACACTGCTCATTTGTTTAAATGTCAAACCTAAACCTCAACTTTCAGGGAATATGCCTGTAAAGAATGAATTTTAGTTAAGCTGGAGAGGATTTCAATATTATTCAGTCCTGAGGAAAATAGCTATCAATGTCTTGAGAGTTGAGTGCACTGAGTAAATCTTTCTTTTCAATCTGAATGGAATTGACCATTTCAGCACTCGGGGTCATGGACAGTGCCCTCTTCCTCTGATGACTGTCCTTCTGGCAACTAAATCTCCCCAGATTAGCAAATTTGTATCTCTAAATATGCAGTTAGGAAAAAGAAGGCTATGTATCACCTGTCCTGTGCAAAGCAAAAAAAGAAAAAGAAAATAACATTAAAGAAAAGCATATCTTATTACCAAGATTAAGTGTAAAATAAAATCAGGGAAGAGACAAAGCTATGGTTTGTAGATATTTCTGCAAAAAACAAGGAGAGTTACTTTTCTTTGTACTGAAAAGTAAAAATATTTCTCCCCAGACAGATTCCTGGTGGAGACAGTGACAGAGCTTTTAACTCCTTGTGGCACTTTATTGACCATGGACATGGATACAGAGGAGAATGGGGAGCCTGTCCAGTAGGCTAACAATCGGGGGCAGAGGAGCCATGCTCTCCATGCTTTCTTGTCACAGAGTGGAATAACAATGAAGAATTCTGGTTTTAAGGTCAGAAGAAAAGGAAACGAATCTCAATTGTGTCCTTTAATAAATCACCACATTTTTATGTCTTGTTTTTCTACCATCTAATGTAGCTCAGTTTGAGGTTTAACTGAGAGTATATGTGAAAGGTGCTGACATACAGTAGCTACTCAATATAGGTTCATTTTTGATTATTTGCTTATCACTAAGAGCTCACATAATGCACTAAACATTGCTATGTTACTAGCCATGTGTCTAAATAGTTATAATTCTAAAGATGGATGACAACAAGGGAAGCAAGAAAAGCATTTTTATTAACTGACATCATTATAACAAGAGCCCTAATCATATGTATTTCCACATTTTGTCCACATAGGCTACATCCCTAGAAGATTCTCTTTATTTTTCCCTGCAAAAAATCAACAAAAGCCAAATATTGTGAAATAATATTGGGAGAGACAATTAGAGTTTTCAGAAGGTTCTTATGAAATCACAGTCACTGACTCCCTGGAGAATTCCTTCCAGTTCCATGCCCTCTGCTAAGCTGCCTGCTGAATTGCACTTTGGGAGCTTCCTACCCAGAGCAGCACACCTGGGAGGGAAGGCAAAGATCCCATCATGCTGAAAGGCTTTCTCATCAGCACCATCACAGTTTTAGTCTTTGCTTTTGACTTCCAAGCCCTCCTCCCAGTCTTTCTCACCTCACTCACCTTCTCCCCCTTTTCATGACCTGAAATCAGCAGCGTCTTTCCCTAGCTGCCCCATCTCCTCCTGTCATTTTCAAAACCTCCTCCACACTGCCCTCTGCGTTCCAAATGCCTCCCAGCCTCTTCTCCATTCATCAAGGTGCAAGCTCCTTCCATTCACAATTTAAGTCACCTCTCTCTTCCAAAGCGCCTGGTCTTGAAGTAGATTCGCCTCCTGCTCTAATTAATGCCATCACCACCACCCCCTGCCCCCCAACCTCAAAAACTGTGGCAGGCAGAGTGGTGGGGAGGGGAGGAACGAATTTGTCTGCTACAGACCTAGGTATTGACGAATAAGAGCGTGTCTAGCATTGAGTGTAGACTCCTCCTTGAGAAAAATAAAAAATTGCACAGATATTCCTGAGCCTGGCAACCAGCAGCCTCTGAGCAAATCTCGGTTGAGTGGATGAATGAAGGAGTGAATGGATCAGGACTACTGAGGAAGCCTCATCTTCCCGCCCCTGCAGGGCTCCTTTGTAATTAGCCCCGGGAGTGAGTGCGCTCCCCTGCTTTGCTCCTCTATACCCTCTGACCCTTCCTCCCCTCTTCTCTACGGGAACCTAGAGCTGCTCCAGGGCTGGCCACCCAGCTGACAAGGACTCTGACTTCAGCAGCCTAGCCAAGCTTGCTCCTGAGGGGCTCAGCTTTGGATTCGGCAAGCTCTGCCTCCCCAGGCCCCTGAAAACTCCCGGTCACGTTATACAAAGCATGACTGGACGACCCCCTACACTCGATGAAATCCACTTGGGCTTGCCTGTCACAACCCCTTTCCACAGCCCATAACTGAGGTCAGAGAAAAGCAAGCAACACCAAACAACACGGCTCCCCTCTTCTCCCTGCAGAAAAAAAAAAGAATCCTTATGCCAGGGCTTGGTCCTGGTTCTTAAAATCAGAAACTTTTTTTCTTCCGAATGCCATCAGCGTCCCCACCCAGAGCGCGGGACCGCTTCTTCCGCACCCCTTTCAGGGAGGGGTTCTCAGCCTGCAGCCCAGGGAAGACACCTGGGGGCCACCGGACAACTCACCCAGGACGTTCCCCACTAGCGCCACCACGAACACGATGATGTAGCCGGCGATCAGGACCCATTCGTACTCTTTGGGGTGCAGGTACTCCCTCCACAGGTACCGCAGGAATTCCTCGTCGTCATAGTCGGTGGGGCTCAGAAAGGGCTCCTGAGTTCCATTCAGCTCCGAGGCGGAGGACCAGTTGCGGCGAGGGAGGAAAGCGTGCTCCGGTTTGGTGCTGGACATCACGGGCTCGGTCGGGTTCGGCTCAGTGCTGCAAGCCGCTCTCCGCCCGCCCCATGAGCCCTGGGGATCTGCCGGGGAAGCTGCGTGGACCGGCAACCGGGGCTCCGAGTAGAAAATGACGTGAAAAGTTACGGAGCCAATGCCGCCTCCTCTGGAGTCCTCCGCCGCCAACTTGCGAGGAGGCTTCGCCGGCTTGGCAGGAGGGTGTGCACCGGGGAAGCTGCGGCAGTGACAAGGAGGGAGCCAGACCCTTCGCGCCTTCCTCGTTCAGCGCCTGGTCCTCGGCCCGGGCCTCCTCTCGCGCAGGGAAGCCAGGGCAAGGCTGAGGACGGACGACGGACGGGGAAAGTCACGGCAATGATTTAACCTGTTTGTTGGCTAAAGGCCTTTCTTTTCGAACTTTTTCCTTCATTTTCACGTGCAGTTTCTACAAACACACACAGACATGTGGAGGTCGGTGATGTGCCAAAAGGTCAACACATGTTAACACAGGAGGTGGAGGCATCTGGCTTCTTAATGGTATCCCAAAATAGGGAGAGGAGGAGCCTAGCTGGACCTCAGACAGGCCTGTGCAAGTCATTTCAGGCAAACATTGTAACACTTACACGGACTCATCTGAGCATTTGTCACTTGCCAAGTTGGAACCTTCTAAGTCTAAGCCTTTCCTTTCCTCATTGAAATTGGGGAAGTACAGTTGTTTTTCTTTTTTAATTGAAGGGTATAATTAGCAGAAATTTGTATTTGCAACAGCCAATGTCACGTGAAATACAGGAGCAAATCCTGGAGGACATCAAGGGTCATTCATACACGTGACCACAGCTAAGCGTGTCAAGTACAAGAGACCACCAGGTGAACAAGACTGAGCAGCCTCCTCCATAGGTCACAGCAGTCTTCTTTCCCTTGACCACCACACCCCTCCAGTCCCTCTTATTGACTCAAGACTGATGTCATCTGTCATCCTCTCATGAAGTGGCTTCATCTCTAAGAACAAGTGTTCTGCGGTTTTCCAGCATGTAAATTCATGATCTCTTCATGCCTGATAACCACGTTAGACCTATCACACTGGCTTCCCTGGAGTCTTGGACTTGGGAAGGCCTTGGAATCATTTAGCCTGAACTTAAGCTTAACAGTAGAAGCCTCTTAGTAACATTACTAAATGTCCCCACATAACTTGGATGTGACCATCACAATCCACAACTTCCACCATTATGGGACTGCTCTAGAGGTTAGAAAACTTCCTTACATGGAGCAAGGTCTTAAGCCATTAATTGCTTTTCAGGTTCTTTTACCTCCAATCCCAACTTTGCATTTTAGTACTATGTATAATAAATCTTCCACACAAAATTCTTCACTTATTCAAAGCAAGCCTCACACCCTCAACTGCCCTTCCAGCTCCCTATACTCTTTCCCCCCAATTTTTCCATTGTTTTTCACATGTCACTATTTCCACACCTATATGCATTCTTCATTTACCTTTAGACAGTTGTTACCATATTGAAGCATATGTAACTGGAAGGAAATACAGTAATCTGTTTTAATACTTGGTAGAATTTGAAGCACACAATTCTGCTACTTACGTTTTTAGAAGCCACAAAACAAAGATAGTTTACATTGAGCTTCTGGTAAGTTGCCCCTACTCCCAGCCCTGATCATAATTTTCACATTTGTTTTCCACATTAAGGTTTCTAAAAATTCTTTGTTATGCATTATATTAAACCCCCTCAAAGGTTGGCTATGACAAGACCCTTTTTATAGATGAGGAAATTGTTTCTGGAGAAATCAACTGATTTTCCAAATAACAAGTGATTAATCAGAAACATATCTCTATCTAGTGCTTGGTTTTGTATGATTATTATATATCACAGCACACCCTACTTTGAATATTTCCAATCTGTACTATTTACATTTATTTTTAAGAGAAAGGCATGAATGAACATTTTATTTTTCACCAAATATTTAATGACTGAGCCAATTCCACTCTGAGTGATACAAACTAAATAGGTTGGGTTTTTTCATGCACTTTGTTCTTCAGTGAAGCTAGAGAAAAAAATCAACCAACATATAAGAGAACCTTAGGAATGGATAAATGCAATGTGAAAAACAAGCTGGGAGAAGTGATAGAAAATTCCAAAGATCACCTGGTCGTGATCCAAATGGGCTCTGTGGAGAGGTGACATATCAGCAGGAGACCCAAATGATATTTGCATATATTTAATTTTGTTAATTTGAGAGTTAAGCAGACCTTTTTAAGTGCTAATGTTCCCATCCAAAGCATTGTCTCTCCTCCAGACCCCTTGTCACCAGTAAACAGGAGGAGCAGATCTTGTCTGGCTTCCTTGTGTTCACTGACACAAATATGCTAACTTTCTGCTGTTCTATGGTGTCTTCCTCTGACTGATTAATATCTGCATTTTTCTCTTTCATGGACTATTCTTCTAAAAATTGGAAAGGTTGTTACTAGTTTAATTTAGATCTGTATTTGTTAATGTCTGTAGATTCCTTGTCAAGAATAATCCATATATATGGACTCAGTCTGTTACTTCATATGTAGTGAATGCCATGAACTTCTCTTTTCATTTCACTCTTCTCTTAGATGTCCACTGCAATTAATCATCACTGTTTGTTAACATTGTAAAGGAGAAGAAAGGAGAATATTTTCAAGGTTTTATTCTGGTACCTGCCTTGTGTTGTCCATTTCCAGCTACCATGACTTATCAGGTGCTATGTTTCAAATTTGTGATACTCCAATGCCATACAAAATATGACTCAAATATTCAAATTATCATTTGCTCTCTTTTTGGAAGCACAACATAAAGATGATGAATATTACAGTACTTGTTTCTCATATAATCTTCTTTAGATCTTTTATTATCTTTCAGAACATTTGAAAAGAATGTATTGTTCTTGGGTATTATTATTCAATTGGAAATCTTCCTACTGTATATCAGGAAAAGGCGTCAACCCAATATAAGACACTAAAGGAAGTTTTTAAATTTGCCCCAAGATTTCCTCCTGAAGATATTAAAATAATTAAATGAATTGATGTTTTCAAAAAAGTGCCAACTACCTAGAAAGTAATCCAGAAGATGTTTATTAAATGGCATTATATATGATCTCCTATTTCTACCTTAATGCTTTAAAGAAAGAAATGTAGCTCACAATATTGTGAGTAATTATATTTAGCTACCTATATTCAAAATTTCCCATCAATTATTTTTCTTGTACTAATTGAATATGTTAAAAATGATGGGGGAGAGAATGAATTTCAAACAGAAGTTTTTTCTCTTAGTGGTTTTAGTTAGATTCTTCAGAGGTCTCAAGTTGTACAGGCTGTCTCAGGTTTTATTTTCTTATTCCCAATGAGAGATTATTCTTTTTGCATGTCTATTATAACTTTCTCGATTCATTTCAGTAAAAGTTACTAAGTACCCACTATGTTCTCTGGAGTTTAGCTAAAAACTAGGGACCTAAAGAGCAACATGGCCAGCCTCTATGATCATTCAGTCCTCTCTTGAATTAAAAATGTTATGATTTTCAAATAACTGAATTTAGGGTAGAGAGATACCAAGAGTATCATAGAAGCAAGCTGTGAGAAATGCCTCATTCAACTTGGATAAATCCATCTTAATTGGCTTATGCACAGGAAAAAGTCACTGGAGATGAATCATAAAGCAGAGGGAATTACCAAGGGTTAAGAAGGCGAATAGGTTAGTCAGAGGGAAAAACACTTGGTGAGGACAGCCAGAGAAAATCTGCAGAAAAAGTAAGGTGCACTGAAGCAGGGTCAAGCTTTTGGAACTCTTTCCTCCAGAAATGTGGGGAAGGAATCAGAGACTGAGGGCAAGATAGATTATGAGAAAGTGGTCTCACTTGTGGTGGTGGTGGTGAACTCAGAAGTATAAGCTTTCAATAGATATCATCCAGCATGAAAGAATCTTTTCTTAATACTTCTTTGAGGAAACCAACTACAGGATATTAATAGAATGTTTAAAATGTGTTCCTGAGTTTTTTATACATTTTTAAGGCCTCACTTTTTATTTTTAATTGACATATAGAAATTATACATATTCATGAAGTAGGTTGCAATGTTTCAACAAATGTGTAATGATCAACTCAAGGTAAATAACATATTTATCTCTTCAAACAATTATCATTTCTTTGTGATGATAAAATTAAAAATCTTCTCTTTGGGCTGGGATGGTAGCTCAGTAATAGAACATTTGTCTAGCACATGTGAGGCCCTGGTTTTAATTCTCAGTGCAAAAATTAGTCAATTAATTAATCACCCATTCTATTTTCTAGCTATTTTGAATTCTATAATTAATGATTGTTAATTATGGTCACTGAAATGCTCTGGAAGTTATTTCCTCCATTTTCACAATTTCTGTGCTACTAGAAATTATCCTTTGTATCTAACTATAACATTCTGCATACTAAACAGTTTCTCCCATTCTCTCCTCCCTGCTTCCCTCCCATCCCCTGGAAACAAATATTCTCCTCTCTCTACCTGTAGATAATATTTTGAGGAAAGAAATTTGACTTTTTGGTGTTTAGAAAGAAGTTTCTATCTTTACTTCTTCTCTGTGGATATGAAAATATAATCAAGTCTGTGCACTCTCAGTAACAATCATACACAGAGTGTGTATTTCCAGAATAAAGTCATTAGTTTTGCAAGAAGTTATCTGTTGTCTGTGGGGTTCTGACACTACATTTTCTTATAATATTTCCTAGAGCTCAATTCTTCTGGAAAAATGCTGAATTTCAGAGCGTCTAGAAACCTATTAAAAAGGAGAAGATTCCAGATGATATGTGTTACTATGGGGACTCTGTTGAAAATCCAGTAAGCTCATGCTTTAATGAACCACCAGTTACTTATTACAAATTTTAGAAAACATTTCTTTTTCTCTGTCTATATACACCCTTCTATCTTGCATTGTATTCTTCTCCCACATACTGATGTCTCCTCTCATAAGAGAGTATCTCTCTCTTCCTTCTTGTCTTTTGTTCTGCAATATCAGTCCTGATGTTTTCCTCTCATGAGACTTTTATTTAAATGATATATCTGAATGCTGCACCACTTTTCTATCCTATGTTGAACATACACAGACATTGCTGCTGTCTTATTCAATCTTTGTTGCACTAAAGGCATTACCATTATACCAAGATTTGGACAAGGACTTAACAAGGAAAGAAAACTACAGGCAGATTTCCTTAGCTGAAAAAACACAGATGCAAAAACCCTTAACAAGATTCTAGCAAAGAGAAAGCATTATTAAAAATATTATATAGGAATGGGGAAAAAAGAAGAACCAAGATACATCATGTACAGGTACACGCATCCAGTGATAAATGTAAACATATTGTATACCTAAGATGTACCAATAAAAGAAATTAAGCCAAAAATATATATATATATAGTAATCAAATTGAGTTCGCTTCATTGCTGAGATGTAAGAATGAATAATTCAACATATGTAAATCAATAAAC